CATATGTTCGCTCAATCACAGGCACTGTGCATATCACTGAAAGATGTTCAACCGTTGGCCAAACACTGGGCAGACATGTCAATCTCGTTCTATCAACCTCAACCTTAAACACCAAGTCATGCAAACATGTTGATCCAAGTCCTTATCTCTTGCCGCTTGGTGCCCGGGCATTCCCCCGCCCGCGCACAATCACCTGTCAAGAACTTCACGTTAAATGAACGGTCCAAGTCATTGGCTATAACGATTCGTTGATACCGATGGACGGGGCTTCGGCCGCGCCTCGTAATGGTCAAGCATGAGCCCGAGGCCATTCATGAAATGCATCCCAAGCCTACCAAGGAGCAATATTTGCATGAATCGGGTGCATATGAGTCTACTCAATCTCGGGAAAAGTACCAAGAAAGTCATAAACCTATTGTACTTATACCAATTTAGTCTTAAACTTTTCGACTGTACCAATTGAGTCCTAAACCTTTTTACGATTTATCAATATAGTCCATTTGGTTGGAAATCACTGACATAGACGCCGATTATCCAACATGGCATGAATGGTACGTGGCACAATGGGGGCACATGTGAGGGCTGACAAAGTGCAGCTCTTGACTTGCTTCTAGGATGATAATGTTGCTCACTGAATAGGGAAAACATCCCATCTCAAGATAGGTCTGCTACCACATTTTTAACAAGGAGAGAAACCTCCATTGGTTTACTGATTTACTGAGATCAAGAGAAGCTTAGTAGGCGAAAGAGGGTACTACAAAAAGCGTAGTTGGTTCCAAATGCCACACTTGTCAAGAAAAGCACAAGAAACCGAAGATACCCGAACAATTATGATTGGGGAGCCACCAATGGAGTGCAGTGTCCTGTTCTGTTGGGCGAGCATTCTATGTACCCAAGGTAGGATGTTAATGGTTGAAGAATGCAGGGAAACGATAGAATAACCCGCAACGAGGACATTGTGGAATTGAGTGAGGGAGAATGTCATAGACTGGAGTGATGCAAGAATTCTCCCGTATACGCATACCCTTGTGAGTGGAGCTAGTGGCGTTGGAGTGATTTAGAATGAACGATACAACTTATTCGCAGGAGTGGCGTCAAAGCGTGTGCTAGGAGTTCTATAATATAATGGTTATAACTTTGAGGAGCTCTGAAGGCGGGATTGGCATGACGTACACAAACTGATTGGGAGCTAATGCCGCTCTTCTGATGAAGCCATGGCAGGCCGAAACCAATTGTTATGCCCAAGTGTTCTGTGTGTCTTGCTTGAGAGATTAGATATCCAAGCTAAATTGGGCATAGTACGATCCGATCCGAGGATATTATTCGTTATACTATTTTTAAGAATAGCTATAAAAGGAAGGCTGGTATGATATTTTTGACTCGTCAAGCACCGCACAGGCTATTTTGCGGCCATGAATCTGTCTTGTCACGAAGGATTGTGTCTGTAATCTTGAGTTACTTCATCCCAGTACCTTCAAGTCTGAGTATATAGAACTGAGTGGGAAGATAGATGTGCTTGGCCGTCCACCTATCATAATATTCGGAGCAACATGCACCAGTGGAGATCACAAAACTCTACAGTTCAAGGATTAATGATGAGAGTACATGCTTCGTGTCTAAAAACTTTTGGAAGCTTTCTTGCACCAAACAATTGGAGTGAAAGTGATTAAGCATAAAGAAAGATCTCCACTCCCTCTTCCAAAGACCATCCGCACGAAATTTGGAGGACTTCAATTCCTCCGCCGTCGCCTGTGAAAGAAACTCGTCGCGTCGTGTCTAAGCACATTGCCGATGCAATGAAACGAATCAATCGACATTCCAATATGACAATTACGAGTCAGAAAAAGGAGATGAAAACTTTATGTATCTGAAATTCAAACGAGTCTGGACAGTGGACTTCCTCTAATTGGGGGCGATCAACGTTTCAAATGTATGAATGAGAGCGTCTCCTGCATCAAAATCTACATCGCTATCTGCAATGTCAGCAGGGCCCCAGTCAGCAGTTTCTCCCAAGAGGCAGTTTAGATTTGTGAGTCACCAACTGAATCAGAGTGGTTGGTATGTCAACAATTGTGCAGCTTGAAAAATGTGACCAAAGAGTTTTACGAGGACCAAACGCTACTTCCCATCCACTTCAATCATTGATGTATAAGCAATTGAAAGTGCAATGGAGTGCAGATATCATCATCTTTCCAAAGAGAGGACCAGAGGCTGATGATGATTGCTGTCGTTGGCCAAACGAAGCGATGGCCCCCAAACGCATCCAAGAGAGATGCGATTCCTCACTCCATGACAAGTAGATAGGAGTGAGCGAGCGAGTGAGACCTACTTCCATTTTACATGTGCATGCATAATTAGATGATAAGCATAATTGTCCAAAAAAGTCATAAACCTATTGTACGGCGATCCAATTCAGTCTCAACTCCTTCAATCGTGTCAATTCAGTCTTAAACCTTAAACCTTAAACCTTTTAACGATTAACAAAAATTGGCCGAAAATTGGAGTCGGTCATCCTACATGATATGACCGGCTCTGACGTGAATAATTTTTGTAGAGAAAAAAAAGAGTAGAGTGTGGTAGGCCACTCATTCGCCTTCCCACCCAAAGGTTCCTTCTCGTCTTTGAAATTTAAAACGGAAAGGACTCATCAGCTCCTCTCGTTTTCCCTGCATTTTTTTCTTGAAAGTGGCAACTTTAGATAAGATGGGTATTCTTCCTTTTTCCTCTCTTTATTCTGTTTGCATCGAAAAAGCTTGGTTTCCAGTGATCTCAGCGTCCTTTGGCCTCGCAAGAACTCGAACAGTGATCACATGTCATCCGTTGGCCAAGTGTCCCGCCACAATCCACAACTGATGCGTCGGTAGATTTTGCTGCTGATGCAAAAGATCTCACCTATGTCCATAGACAAGAACCTTTGATTGTAGACAATGCTATAATATGCTAGGAAAAACGACACAGATGATCTTTGAACTTTACTCCAATATATAATATGATTCCCAAAATTTTTAATTTGTATTATACAAAAATGTTCAATGTAGAAGGGGACTAAATTGAACATGTACCAAATATTTAGAGACCGCATTGAACAAATTCAAAGTTTATGGATCACATTGTATATTGAGATAAATTTCAGTGACAATATTAAATAAATTAAAATTTCATGAATCACATTGCACATATAATCAAAGTTCATGGATCATTTATCTCAAAATGCTAAATCACGGGTTCAAGACAAAAGCTCGGCAAATTCCTCCATCGTAAAATCCTAGGACGGAGCAATAAAACACGGGGTACTTCCTTAGCATTATTAGAGTCCGGTCAATTATGCCCCACACTAACGAGCAATCAACATCTTCAACATTTCTTAATAATTCTAGATTCGTTTCATGGACTACTCGAGAGTCCAATTTAACCCTTCTTTTTTATTGGGAGGTGGTCAAAAACGGGGAAGTTGAAATTACCCGGAAATTCCATTTTTGACCCGAAGATCAATAGAATATTTTAACAGAATAATTAGAGATTTTTTTTATTTAAAGAATAATTAGAGGCTGACACGCTTTGAATATTCTTAACTTTGGAGCGATCACGATCCCAATGATCCATGCCTTCCAATAAGAGGATGAAAGACAGGTCAGTCCGTGGCTGCTTTCTGCTTTTTGGACCACTCCTTACCTTGGAATAAAAGGAAAACGAATAAAAATAAAAACATGCGAATATATTCATTAAATTAACTTTAGTACATAAGAAGGAATTAAATTATTTTTGGCCTAAGGGGGGAAAGAAATGTCTAGGGGAATCAATAACTTTTTGGTCATGCGATTGTGACGTCCTAAACAATTTGTGCATATCTTTTATGCGCATGGATCTACGATGATGATTCGCATGACCGGGCGATAACGATGAACCCTCGTACGGTTGATCTTCTTTCGCTTAATTTGGTTGGCGAGGCGTCGAAATTAAGCCCGATTGAGAATGATTTTCCTCGTTAATTCCCGGTGCACCAACTAATTATTCAATGTTAAACACCAATATCGATCGTATTACCTCTTCCCGTACAACGCAGGGAATCTCTACTCTACGTGTCCCTCTCGAGGAAGTTGGGCAAAGCTACGACTCGTCTACGGCTACGTATTCCTAGCCCCGGTATCCGAAAACTCGTGACGTCGAACAACCAGGAAACTCGGTCTTTTCAATTGATTGGCTGATCGGTTAGTGGACAAACGATTTAGTTGTTCTTAGAAATGATCGAAATGTGTTTTCTCGCCGGCATAATGCATATGCCTCTACGTACGGGCGAAATATAGTATCGGATTCGCATGAGATTGGCAATCCAATGGTTCTTGTCCTATAGCTAGACAATTAGCACACTAATCATGACCACAGCAACTACTTTTACATAGAAAAAAGTGTGGCTTTAATCTAGACTCCCATGCGGACCAATGAAAAAATACCGATGCCCGCGTGTTGATTCCGCAGATTAATTCTGCCGCGACTTGGTCGGATTATAAGTTTCGTTACCGATATGTCACAATTAATTATGATAATTCATGTCATTTCAACCATCATCACGGTTGCTAGCGAACCCGTTGCGTGCACCTTGCCGCCGCCATCAAATCCGTCGAAAATCTCGAGCACATGACTCGTGGACTAAAATTGGGTATATCGAATCGAGCCACTTTGCGTCTCATCTAGTCATTAGTATTTTACTCATCATGAAACCCCTAATTATCCTCGTTTTATTATTATCGTTGCTTCTGGTCCTAACATGATCGCCCGTAAGTCAATCAACCAGGCGTTGACTGAAGAGCTTTTCTCTTTCAATATCGCATGCAACGAGAAGGGGCCTCCTGTCGGTCGACCCGCAATAGCCGGTGGCAAGCTCCCTCGGCCCACCGCATCGGCCCCCCGCAAAATGACCGGACATCAGGGGTTTCCCGCGAAAAGTGCCGGTTTCCCGTTGACGAGGACTCCAACGAAGTTAAACTGCTCCACTAAAACACGTCCGCGTCTCTCTCTCTCTCTCTCTCTCTTTCCCAATGGCCCAAACGACAAGGCAGCGCACGCTTTTCTTTCCATGGTAAAATTCCTTTTGCGTCGCCGACACTTTCCTCCCCCGGGATTTTGACCTCGGAGTTTCCCCTCTCGTCTCTTCAAACGTTCAAACGAAAGCAGACAAGAACCCGTTTGCTTAGCCGTGCGAAACTCTTCCCCACGCGGCCCGGCATTTCTTCACGGTTCATCGGATTGATGTCACATCCTCTCCCTGTCTTGCTTTGAATACCATTCTTTCCCTTTTTTTTAAGTTTCGTTGACGAGCCCAGAAGAGGGTGGCGTTAGGTAGGCCGGTGTTGTGTTGGCGGCAATTTCGCAGATTTTAAAATGGACATGGTGGGATTGAGCCCCGGATGGCCACAAAGTTTAGGTACCATTCTCGATTGTCCTCTTCCCCTTATCGCGTCATGGGTTCTGCCCGTTTCGTCCGGATATAACAGTGGTGTGTGTGTGTGCGGGGATGGCTTGTGTTCTTATTCTTTTTTTGGGGTGTTTATGCGGGCACGCGAATTTTTCTTGGGGATTCGTGGGGCTTAAATTCGCTGATGGTGTTGCTTTCTGCAAGTGCACAAGTAAAGAAAGTGGGGGCATTTGGGGTTTCTTTTATGTCTAGTACGAGTACTGAGTGGTCAACATGCCTGATTCAATGCTGCAGAGAACCGAATGACATGTGGTAGAGCTTGGACAGTTGTTGCGCCAGGATAGATCTCTGGTGTTTCCGTGTAAAAAGACCGAGGGTGTGAGGTTATTGCGAAGGAAGGAACGATGACTGTTGAGACAGTTAAGGCCGTGACGCAGAAGTATGTGTTGGTTGGTGTCCGGCTCGACGGCCATAGCAGAGAGCTACTGAGTTGGGCTATCGTGAAAGTGGCTGAACCGGGAGATAGGGTACTGGCTATCCATGTTTGTCGAGGTTCGTATATCGTGCAAAGCCTTCTCAGTATTATGTTAGCGAGTGAAATTCTAGTTTTAAATTCATATCTCGAATATCTGGAGTTGAGGGTACTTACAATATGCTGTCCAGATGATGCTTCACGAGATGGGTCCATGTTGGATAACTATCTGGAGGTTTATGCAGGTTTATGCAATGCAAAGAAGGTATGGACCTAATATGTAAAAATTTTGCAACTCTTTCTTGATGCTTAGGAGTGTGTTGCTGAATGTTTGTTTTAAACTGTAGGTGAATCTCACAGGCCAGGTGCTGAGAGGGAGCTCGTTTAGGAAGGTCCTGGTGAGAGAGACCAAGAATTATGCTGCTGTGGCCCTACTCGTTGGGATAGACAAGCAAGGTGCTCTCGGGTACTATATGATTGAGCGATGAACTCATTTCAATAAGTTGTAGTTGTTGGGATCTTTTCTTTTCCCTCTCGTCGTCACTCTAAATGGATTTTATCTGTTTAGGGTACATACTTCAACGGCCAAATATTGTGCCAAGCGGTTGCCGTCTTCTACTGATGTGCTGGCCATCCATAACGGGAAAATAGTCTTCAGGAGGTGTACCAATATTCAGCTTCCAGGTTAGCTGCTAGTGCTGTTGAAACCAATACCTTTTAGTTTAGTACTTCAAACTTCATCCGATTTAGTTTAACTACAGGAGTCAGAGGAGATCCTAGACCCAGTCTGTGTCAAAGAGGAAAGGCCAGCACTCAAGAAACCTCGTCTGAGTTTGGTGAATCCGAAGCTGAGTCTGATATTTCGACCACGGAAAGGATTCAGAGCCGGAGAGAGGAATTGCGTGCTAATTATAAAGATGTGAAAATCGGTGTCGCACGCGAAAATAGGATAGTTCTGTCGAGATCGGCTTCTGAACTTGCTGGAAGCCACTTGGAGCAGAGACCCGGTTGGCCCCTGCTAAGGAGAGCTACTTCTGATCCTCCACGGACTCTGAACGGAAGGAGCGTTTCTGTTGTTCAGTGGGTCATGAGCCTGCCAGATAGGTCTCTCTACCTGAACTCTCTACACCCTGATACTAGAGAGAGCCCACCACCGAAATATCATACCGAGACTGTGGATGGAAGCCATAAAAGTACTTCATCAAAGGCAAGCAAGCTACTGAAACAGATAGAGCTTTTGTTGAGAACAAAATCGTCAGATTGTGAATTGTTTGATTATGATGCCCTTAGAGACTCGACTTTGCATTTCTCATCAGGTTCGCCTTTTCATTCTATTGGATTTAGTTTTTTGTCTCCAGTTTCCATTGCAAGCAAGATCCACTCCTCATCTCTTTTTTCCTTTCAAGCAGAGCATCTGATTGGAAAAGGCGGCTCGAACTGTGTATATAAAGGCATTTTTCCAGATGGCACAACAGTGGCAGTAAAGGTCTTGAAGTCATCAGTCAAAGCAAATTCGAAAGATTTTTTGCTGGAGATGGACATTATCTCCTCGATGAAGCAAAAAAACATCACACCCCTTCGTGGAATCAGTGTCCAACGTAACAGTTTAATATCCGTTTATAATTTCCTTTCCCGGGGGAGCCTGGAGCAAAACCTACACGGTAATGCCTTCGGTGAGAATAACACCCTTGTTTATTTCATCTCAATTTGCTTCTGTGCTGAGACGACATTAGCATGCGATGCAGGTGATGGAAGAAACAAGCATGCACTGTCGTGGGCTGTAAGGTATAACATTGCCTCGGGAGTTGCAGAAGCCTTAAATTATTTGCACAACGAATGTGCTCGGCCCGTTATTCATAGAGATGTCAAGACATCGAACATTCTTCTCACGAATGAGTTTGAGCCGCAGGTATGCTTACAGCTCGTGTAAGATTAGCTAGGATGTTGAAGCAAATAAAATTTTGCAATAAATGACTGATGTTTCTTTCTGTGGCAGTTGTCTGATTTCGGGCTTGCAATATGGGGACCGCCAGCTTCAGCTTTTCTGACCAAAGTCGATGTAGTTGGAACATTTGGGTATCTTGCACCGGAATACTTCATGTATGGCAAATTGAGTGATAAGGTTGATGTCTATGCTTTTGGTGTGGTGTTGCTCGAACTCTTATCAGGAAGAAAACCGATAAGTTCCGACGCCCCCAAGGGACAAGAAAGTTTGGTCATGTGGGTAAGAAGCCTTCCTTATGCATATTCTCACACTGCATTGGTATTTTGAATGAACACCCAAATTTTGCAACTTTAGGCAAAGCCCATCATAGAGAGCGGGGATTCAAGAAGCATTCTGGACCCAGATCTCGGTGGACACGTGGACGAGGTTCAAATGCAAAGAATGGTTCTTGCAGCTAGACTTTGCATCACACGGTCAGCTAGGCTTCGCCCTAACATGAACCAGGTAAAAGAAAAATTACATTTGGGCGATACCTTTCGAGATACCGGCGCATATCATGTTTATTAGTCGATTCGAAACAGTTCCCTTGAATGAACCGTGAGCCTTATTTGCGTTTTCAGATTCTGAAGATCCTAAACGGGGACATTAATGCTGACGAGTGGCTCAACTCTAAAACCAGTCATTGGGTGGATTCCGAAATTTCGGATGGCAACGACGATGAAGTTTATCCGAATTCAAGTGCGGAGTTGCACCTGAGCCTCGCCTTGCTGGATGTTTGTGATGATTATACATCGTTCAGCAGCACGGAACAGCGCAACAGCATTTCAGTGGATGAATACATGAAGGGAAGATGGAGCCGATCATCGAGCTTCGATTGACTTATTATGTACACTGTTACAATAGGAAAAAAAATCCCTGGTGTAAGTAAACTCGTGGATGTTCATTATAGTGTAAATCAATTCTGGCAATGTCCATGTCCCGATGGATTTCGAATGTCCCCAACTGAATAAAAGCTCAAACATTATGCCTCCAGTTAGGGAGGCCCAGCAGCTTAAAATGACTGGAGAATCCATTCAGCGGATCAAAACAAAATGTTCACGAGATCATCTTTCTAGTTTTATACTGATGGGTCAGTCAACATACTTATATCTAATGATAAACAATGTCGGCCCAGCACAGAATGCGGTGTTGGCCCAGAACAGAATGCGCATTTCCTCGAACACTTCAGTTTAAGACATGGTCACCCGGATGGATTAAGCCATAAAAAAAGGAGAGACAACGCAGGGCAAACGAAGAGGAGAACTATACTGTCTGAAAAGGATCCCAAGGGAACTCGAAAAAACCTCGGGAATCGATTTGACTTTTGCTCCCCCGAGAATGTCAAACAGAATAGTTTTAAGCGACCTGTTGCCGGGGGTCAACTCATCAGTCATCATCGAATGATTACAAATATGATGGCAGCAGCCATTACCGTCGCTGGAGCGGGTATCAAACGGCCATTTCTGGTTTCGAGGAGAAAAAATTCGTCACAGAGAGAGAGAGAGAGAGAGAGAGAGAGAGAGGGGACCGAAAGGACCATGAAAAAGATGACAATTCACCGTCCTTTGGAGCTCAAATTCGTCGAGCATAAGATAAGAACAGAACACGTGCCGGCCGCGGTCAAAAGAAAATCTCAAGCATGGAGAAAAAAAAGGAAGAGAGAGAGAGAGAGAGAGAGAGAAAAAGAGATGGGGAACCCAAATGAGCGATGGAGAGGAGACCCAGAAAAGAAAAGGCCGTAAATAGAGCAGATCTCGATTTACTTGGATCCGGGTCTCAAAACAATTTAATAAGAAACTGTCAATTTTTCGCCGCAAAATTCCAACTTTAAAGGGTCCAGGATCGGTCCAAAATTTCATAATTGTCGATTTGGCCCGACTACAGTTTTTTCCGCGCCACCATATCAATCGCTCGCATAAAAAGGCAGGGGGGTGGGGCGTGGGGCGTGGGGCGTGGGGGGGAATATCGCTGCTGCCCGCACATATCGTGACGAGACACCTCTTCACACTGTCAGACTTTTCCTGCGTCTCTTTTGATCTCTGTCGCTCGCTCGCTCGCACCCATCACGCACCGCCCAAATTCTCGAAAAAGGGGACCCCGGAAGCGACGCCGCGCATTCCTTTCGCGGTGGTTGGGCGGAAACTTCCGGCGCACGTTCGCTCTCTTCTCTGGTTCGTTCGTTCGTTCGTTTTTCTTTCTTCCTTTCTTTCGTTCGTTCTCCGCCGCCGCCGCCGCCGGAATCGTCTCGCCTCTGTGAATTTTGCTCGTTTCGATTCCTCCGAAAAGGTGCCATTGTGAGGGTTCCCCGAATTTTCTAGGGTTTTTTCTTTCTCCTTGTTTTCTTCTCCGTCTAATTTCCGATTCTCGTCGTCTAATTCGGTCCTTGCTTTGACGTCCGACGCTTTGCATTTGATGGATTTCGCCTGAATTTGTTGCCGTCTCTGCGTGGCGGGTGGTGGGGGTGGGCGTTCGATTTTTTTTTTTTTTGTTTCCGATTCATCGTATTCTGGGATCGTGGGAATCTAGGGCATTGATTGGTCGTGCCGTTCCCGTGTGCCTTTGACGCGTCTGGTGTTGTCGGTTCTAATTCGAAAAATTTCGCCTTTTCTTCCCGTTGTCGTCAGATATCGAGCGCCGTCAGATTTTGGGGTTCCTCGAGCTGATTCGTGTTCCGAGATGGATGATGGGGAGCTCGATTTCTCGAATCAGGAAGTGTTTGGGAACACTGACGTGTTCTCAAGTTCGACTTTAGGAGAAGTTCCCGGTTGCCGCTCGATGGATAGTTTATTCGACGAAATTTTCAGGGATACCCATGCTTGTACCCACACTCACACTTGTAATCCGCCGGGACCGGACTCTTCGCATACCCACACGTGTTTTCATGTGCACACCAAAATCGTCCCCGCCGCCAGCGAGGAGAAGGTTTCTACTGATGACACTGCAGAGTCGACGGAGAAGAAATCGAAGAAGCGCCCGCTCGGCAATCGGGAGGCGGTAAGGAAATACCGCGAGAAGAAGAAGGCCCGTGCTGCCTCGTTAGAAGATGAGGTCACTAGATTGAGGGCCGTGAATCAGCAATTGGTGAAGAGGCTCCAGGGTCAGGCTGTATTGGAGGCCGAGATTGCTAGACTGAAGTGTTTGCTTGTGGATATAAGGGGCAGGATTGAAGGAGAGATAGGAGCTTTTCCGTATCAGAGATCAGCAATGCCTGGCAGTGCTTATGTGGTGAATCCTTGTAACATGCAGTGTAACGATCAGGTATATTGCCTTCATCCGAGAGCGGAGGGTAAGAGTGGAGATGGTACAAGCATGGATGGGCAGGGATATAGTGGTTGTGAATTTGAGAATCTCCAATGCCTAGCAAATCAGAACGGTTCAGGGCCCAAAATACTTCCTGGATGTGGAAACGAGAACATAGCATCAAATGCGGCTTCTTCTGGTGGAAGTAAGAAAAAAGGTGAAAACTGGATCACTTGTTTGCCTTTGTTACCAGCTCATAATCTGTTGATTATCCAACCCGGTTGCGTATGTTGTTTGTGCTCCTCTGTTTTCTGCAGTCTTCTGATGTCGTGTTGTTTGTTTTAAAAAGAAGAATGTCAAGAGATACATATTGGTTAACAAAATTATGTTGGTGCATTTTTATTGGAAGTATGGATGGTCCCCTTTTTGGAATACCCGCTTAAAGTTAGCCATATCAATTTGTAGATCTATTTTGGAAACGAATGTATGTATTCCTGAATGTTAATCTTAGAAATGTCGCGAATGTTGCCTTCCCTGTTGTCAGATTAGGCTGTTTTAGTTATGCAATTGAACTTCTGGTCTGGGCTTGAAGTTAATTCTTTGCCCTCCGATGAAGATTTGTTGTTAATATGCACTACACAGACGGATGTGCGATGCTCATGGTGCTGATGTTCTGTGGCATTGTTGCAAATTTACTTTGCATATTTTCATAGGAATATGAGGGACAAAAATTTTCGCTTTCCATTTCACACACGCCATTTGTCCAAGATGAGTGAACGCATCATTCTTCTCTTTTACGCTTGAGTTCACCCTCTCCTTCCACAGTAGTAGTTTAGAACGATGGGTTCTGTTGAATTAAGGACAAGATCTTTTTGATGATTATGTCTCTCTCTCTTTGCTAGACGATCGTAATAATGTTGGCTTCTGTGCCATCGGTCTTCTGGTATTTAATTTCTCTGAAATATGCTGAATATATTTCTTTGCTACCATTTGACTTCATCTTGCTTTTTATTATAGGAGGGTCTCGTGCAGCAACGGCTGGATGAGAATTGTTTGTGTAATCACCTCCATCTTTCAAGAAGACCTATAATTCAATAAGTGGTCTTCATGAGCGGCAGAGGTGGCTTGTGTCTGATTGTTTATTATTTAGTCTCTCAACGAACTTGGGATCAAAGAGCTGGCATGGCTCAGTTATGTTTTCGAAGGGTAATGTCTTAATATGCTCCATTTTAGACTGTTACTTAAGCTGGACCTCGATGGATGAATAGCCAGTGGACCTTCTAATGGAGGACAACTTGGTTTCTTATGAGGCTTTAAGACCTATTACTTTTGCAGTTCAGTGTCACAAGGTCACTTTCTCTGTGGCGGCAAGTAGTGCTGCTTCTGATTAGTAGAAACGCTTCATTTTTGTATGCTTGATGATGAATTCTTGATTGTTGAAATGCATAAATTTAGGGAAGACGGGGGTTGTTCCAAGAACCATTAATCTCCTAATGTGGGAGAGCGAACTCTATCACTCTTGAGGGGTCGAGCTCTTCCATCTGTGGACTGAAATTAGGTTTGCTTGTTTGAAGAAACATAACTGGCGTGGGAATCTTCTGAATGATCTTTGCGAGCAGCATTTTGCGATAGAGATGTGGGGCGGTAGCACTGTATGACGAACATCATCTGTTTGGTTCCAGAAGTTGCCTTCCATATTACATTATGCAAATGATGATGATGTTCATCTTCTAACTTATGTGATGGAGCTAAGCTGGTGAACCTGCCCCTGCCATTGGTGCAAGTACGGCATTTTAGCAAAGAGAGAGTCGAGAGAAGTGAAGGTGTATATTCGCTGATTTGCCGAGGAAATCTGTAAAAGTTTTGGCTACGTTAATGCATCGAATGAAGGGTGAGGAGCTTGTTCGAGCTCGTTCTCGTTCTGAATTGAAATCTGACAAATAACCAAGAGCCAACATGGTCCGTAGGTAGATCATTTTGGAGGGGGATATAATATTCCAAGTGTGTTCTCTAGGACTACGATCCTGCATTAGTTAGTTGAAATTAGACAAATGGGCATCAACCCACAGGCAAAGGGAAACTGGCGTTCCCACCGATGATGTCGTAGGGTCAGATGGTATCTATTTCACTCCGACCCGAGATTTCAGTACAGTTGCTTGGCTGATCGAGCTGGCGATAGAACTAAAATACTAGGAGGATGACTCATGAATGGGTACGGCTTGTCGAGTGGACCGAGCGTGACAGCAGGAAAGAGTGGACTAGGTTATGTCCGACAAAGGAACTATCTGAACGCTAGGTCTTTGCTTGCAACGAACTTAAAAACTATTTGGGGCAGATCATATGTGCTAATATGTAACAAGAATTCTTAGGCAGCCTATCAGTTTCTTTGTGAAGATAAACGCTATCAAGTCACCGTAAGATGCATCCTCCTTCACGCTATCTGTCCAAGGTCTCGTCGGATTAGGAGTGCGGTCGAGTTCAAAAAAAGTTCGTCAATCAGTTTCATTGGACATGTTGCTAAGTTCAAGCAACCACATAAAATCTGTTTAGATCCATTTTTCATCACGTTAATCTAGAGGTCGCTCTCTCATGCCATATTTGATCATAGCCTCTTTGACAAAATTCATGTTTAGGCAATCAAGGGAGAGAAAGGTTAATTATAAGGTTCCTCCACTCATCCAATTCCAATTGTCTGAGACATAACACCTTCCAGGCCATCTCAAAGGAAACACGTCACTATTCAAGTTATCCGCCGCACTCAACCAATTACTACAGAAAATGGTCAAGAACGTACTTCAACCACATCCAAAGAGCTCGTCCTTTCACACATAAGCTGATTTACACCAAACCGATCATGCCAGTGAGTATATCTTCCATCTAAGCTGCTAAAAGGACTGAAAAAAAATGCTTCGTGAAGCATTGTAGAATTAGCAAGTTAAGTAAAAATTCTCCCTTGGCCCCGAAACAAAATCAAACCAAGAAACTTCTATGAAGCATTTGTACCTAATGTCATACATATCCATCCATGGCCTGGATGTCGTCATCATCTCCACAGATACTCTCAGCCATTTGCCAAACCTGAACAGCGTTGTCTTCAGCCACACTTGAGATAACCCATGGTTCGTTCTTGTTCCATGAGAAATCTGAGATCTTAGCTTTATGACCCCCATGAGAAAAAAGCAGTTCGGCAGGGCCATCGCTTGCATCTCCCTCTTGCTGTTCATCTCCAATCCTAAATTGAACATGCAAATGTGACAATTCTGTACTACTCATTCAAAGCAATTAGATAAATATGAGTTGCTGCTGCTACTGCTAATAGCTAATCAACCAGTAGTAATAATCTCGTGCGGGAAGAGTGTGTGAGTGCGTGCTTTTGTGTGTGTGTGAGAGAGAGAGAGAGTAATATGAGTAACTTTTAGGTTGAGAACCAACACGTGGATAGTGTACCTGTTGAAGTCCCAGACCATCACCCTTCTGTCCTCCGAGGAAGAGGCTAACACAGCCTCATGATTAGGATCCCATTCTACTTGCAAGACCTCTCCTCTGCAAGATACAGTTCCAAGTGAAAAGGAGACATCAAGCCCTAGTCTCTTGCCATCACGTAGAACATTAGCGTATTGAGGATGAAGCTAGTCATGGTAAAATCAATCTTAAAGAAACACGACACCCTCTACAGCTCCAATACGAAGTATCTAAATCTGCTTTTAAGTTCTATAGGCTGCACATAAAAACTGCAATCTTTTGAAAACTAATGATACAGTAAAGTCTCAGATCCATCACGTGGGCAAAGAACATACTCATGGCTACTAAAGACATGCAATGGTGTGGAGAGCTTCCGCATGTCAAACAGTCCAACTGTTGTGTCTGAAGACGCGGTTGCTAGAATCCAGTCATTATACGAGTTGAAAGATACAGAATTCACCTGGGAACAAAGCATGAGAAAGATACTTTAATTGCAAATCTATTAGCTACGCAACGATCACAACGTAAACATATATAATCACTAAGAAATCCAATTACATGTGTCAGGGTATTAACAATAAACATAAGGTGTTTTGCAAAAAAACCAAGAGCAAAAACCAATGAATTGAAGGAAATTCATGGCTGTCTAACCTCTTTCTCATGTGCTTTGACACATTGCTGGGGTTTATTCGTTCGCAAGTCCCAGATCATCAATTGACAATCATCACCGACAGACCCAAATAAGCTGTCATTCTTCAAGTGCCAAGACACATCTCCAACCGCAGTCTCATGAGCCTAAAAATGACAGTTCCATCTCCACATAAATACTTGGTAAAACTACCAAAGTCATACGACGATTGGTAAGCCCAAACTCCTATCTATCATATATTACCTCGAAAACATGCATTGCACTGAGCACTTTATCCTGTGCCGCAGCAGATATATTCCAGAGACAAATCTTTTTATCATGGGACGCGCTTAAAAGGTAGCCTTCTTTCAAGGGGCTCCAAGACAATCCATAGCCTTCTCCATCATGACCCGTCAACCTCAAATCCGGATCAAACCCACCCTCCTGCTGCTTCGCAGCCTGCTTAGAACAATCAAAAACATAAACCTCGCAACCATTTGTCTTAGCACCCACAATATCATGATTCTGCGGCATGAACCGCGCCCTGTTCACTTCCCCATCCACGCGAATCTTTTGCGATATCTCCACCTAAAACCAGTGAGAAAGATAGGGAAAAACATCAGACAGTACTATTCAAGAATCTCCAGCATGGTCGACAGCGAGATTGACCACATTCTTAAAACCGGCGGCATACAGCAGCTTTACATAGAGAAACAGTCGTGAAACTGCGGCAGCTCGACACTCATTAGAACAACGAGAGGAATTATAAAGGTGGGAATTACATCGAACACTTAGAACGCACCAACCAACTCCAGATAAAACAACACAAAATCAACAGTTCCACCGAACACCACGTGATTCAGCAAAGCAATGCCCGCATAATTGTTCAACCGAAAAGAGCCGAATAAAATTTTCGCGGTGCCGAGGGGACCGACCTTGGGGATCGCGGCGGCGTCCTCCTCGCCGGAGCCATCGGATTGGGAAGGGAGGAGGGCGTCGGCGAGGACGAGGAAGTTGGGGACGCCGTCGGAGGTGTGGGTGCCGAGGACGAGGCGGTGGACGGCGAGGGGAGGGTGGTCGCCGGCGGAAGAGGGGCGGGGAGGGAGCGGGGCCCAGTGGACGGTGAGGGACGGCCACTCGAGGGCGTGGGAGATGACGAGGTCGTAGAGGATCGGGGTGTTCTTCTTCCACACCGCGAACTCCTCCTCCAGCTGCTGCAGCTCCGCGCTTTCCTCTTCCGCCATGGATGCTCCCTCTCTCTCTCTCTCTCTCTCTCTCTCTCTCTCTCTCTATCTCTCTCTCCTGTGTTCGCGCTTCTTGTGGCGCCGCTTTTTCCCGCCAAAACTTGTTGGTGAGGGCTTTATGCTGACCGGAGATGATGGGCCGACTGTTCGGCTACTAAGGCCCAGCACCTCCCGGTATCATCTTGCTTTTTCTTTTTTTTTTCCACCTTTATTCTTTTTTGACTTTCTAGCATGGAAAACTTGTTGACTTATTTTCATTTGATTGAGAACTTAAATTCTAAATCGCGATTATTCCTTTTGATCATTTTCATATTGATTGAGCCTTTTCAGGCTCCGTTTGTTTCGTGAAACGAAAATGAATGATTTGAAAAATACTTTTTCAAGATCGCTTGAAATAATTAATCGATAAAAACTATTTTCATTATTGACAACGATTTACGTTTAAATATTTTTCATGAAAAGACGAAAATATTTTTTCCTTCATTCTTTTTTGTAAGTAATACGAGCAGTCATTTTTAGAAAAATATTTTTCAAATCATTCATTTTTCGTAAAGCAAAACGTACTCTTAAATTCTATATCGCAATTCTAATGCATTCATATCAAAGCACTTGTGGTTTTGGGAAAATAATGTGTACACAAGTGACATCACGTCATATTTTACACTAGCCCATTCAATGAGTGGTACTCTTGGGCCCGCCCATCAAAATTTGGCAAAGTCTCTCCTCTCTCTTCACGGCCTCTCTCTCCCTCCTGACTTACACGCTCTGCTCTCTCGAGCAAGCGATGCCGCGGGCGAAGGCGGCCACGGCCTCGCCAGCCACGAGCAAGGTTGCCTTCGCTCGTGGCCGGCTAGGCCATTGCAAGGCTCGCCTCGTCCAGATTTGGGCAAGGCGGCCGCCTACGCCTTGCCCAAGATGGGCGAGGACTTTGCAACCCTAGTTGCATTTTTTTCTAAAGGCTCGACCATGGCTCGGCAAGGATTTGAAGAAGGCTCGGCCGTGGCTTTGCCGAGATATGGAGGAGGAGTTGCTTGGCCTTGGCTCGATTGAGACATCCGAAGAAGGCTTGGCCATGCCTGATGGCTAGCAAGCTTCGGCGACCCTCGCCGGTGAACCACGCTGTTG